CAAAGAACTACAGACCGATAGCACTAACATCCCATATCATAAAAATCTTTGAAAGAGTCCTAAGAAGCAAGATCACCACCCATCTAGAAACCCATCAGTTACACAACCCAGGGCAACATGGGTTTAGAACAGGTCGCTCCTGTCTGTCTCAACTATTGGATCACTACGACAAGGTCCTAGATGCACTACAAGACAAAAAGAATGCAGATGTAATATATACAGACTTTGCAAAAGCCTTCGACAAGTGTGACCATGGCGTAATAGCGCACGAAATGCGTGCTAAAGGAATAACAGGAAAAGTCGGTTGATGGATCTATAATTTCCTCACTAACAGAACACAGAGAGTAGTAGTCAACAGAGTAAAGTCCGAGGCAGGCACGGTGAAAAGCTCTGTTCCACAAGGCACAGTACTCGCTCCCATCTTGTTCCTCATCCTCATATCTGACATAGACAAGGATGTCAGCCACAGCACCGTGTCTTCCTTTGCAGATGACACCCGAATCTGCATGACAGTGTCTTCCATTGCAGACACTGCAAGGCTCCAGGCGGACATCAACCAAATCTTTCAGTGGGCTGCAGAAAACAATACGAAGTTCAACGATGAGAAATTTCAATTACTCAGATATGGTAAACACGAGGAAATTAAATCTTCATCAGAGTACAAAACAAATTCTGGCCACAAATTGAGCGAAACACCAACGTCAAAGACCTGGGAGTGATCATGTCGGAGGATCTCACCTTCAAGGACCATAACATTGTATCGATCGCATCTGCTAGAAAAAATGACAGGATGGATAATGAGAACCTTCAAAACGAGGGATGCCAAGCCCATGATGACACTCTTCAGGTCACTTGTTCTATCTAGGCTGGAATATTGCTGCACACTAACAGCACCTTTCGAGGCAGGTGAAATTGCTGACCTAGAAAATGTACAGAGAACCTTCACGGCGCGCATAACGGAGATAAAACACCTCAATTACTGGGAGCGCTTGAGGTTCCTGAACCTGTATTCCCTGGAACGCAGGCGGGAGAGATACATGATTATATACACATGGAAAATCCTAGAGGGACTAGTACCGAACTTGCACACGAAAATCACTCACTACGAAAGCAAAAGACTTGGCAGACGATGGAACATCCCCCCAATGAAAAGCAGGGGTGTCACTAGCACGTTAAGAGACCATACAATAAGTGTCAGGGGGCCCGAGACTGTTCAACTGCCTCCCAGCATACATAAGGGGGATTACCAACAGACCCCTGGCAGTCTTCAAGCTGGCACTGGACAAGCACCTAAAGTCGGTTCCTGATCAGCCGGGCTGTGGCTCGTACGTTGGTTTGCGTGCAGCCAGCAGTAACAGCCTGTTTGATCAGGCTTTGATCCACCAGGAGGCCTGGTCACAGACTAGGCCGCGGGGGCGTTAACCCCCGGAACTCTCTCCAGGTAAACTCCAGGTAACATCCCTCTGGCTCATCTGAGTCTTCAACTTCCAATTGTGACCCTTTATTTCCGTGTCCCAACTCTGGAACATCCTGTCTCTGTCCACCTTATCTATTCCACGCAGTATTTTGCATGTCGTTATCATGTCTCCCTTAACCTTCCTGTCCTCCAGCGTCGTCAGACCGATTTCCCTTAACCTTTCTTCGTAGCTCTGGAACCAGCCTTGTTGCAAACCTCTGCACTTTCTCTAATTTCTTGACGTGCTTGACCAGGTGTGGGTTCCAAACTGGTGCTGCGTACTCCAGTATGGGCCTGACGTACACACTGTATAGAGTCTTGAACGATTCCTTATTAAGGTATCGGAATGCTATTCTCAGGTTTGCCATGCGCCCACATGCCCCAGCAGTTATTTGGTTACTGCGGGCTTCCGGCGACGTGCTCAGTGTTATACTCACCCACAGATCTTTCTCCTTGAGTGAGGTTTGCAGTCTTTGGCCGCCTAGGCTATACTCTGTTTGCGGTCTTCTTTGCCCTTCTCCGATCTTCATGACTTTGCATTTGGCAGGGTTAAATTCTAGGAGCCAGTTGCTGGATCACGCGTCCAGCCTGTCCAGGTCTCTTTGTAGACCTGTCTGGTCCGCATCTGATTTAATTCTCCTCATTAACTTCACATCTGCAAATAAGGACACTTCTGAGTCTATCCCTTCCGTCATGTCATTCACATATACCAAGAATAGCACTGGTCCTAGGACTGACCCCTGTGGGACCCCGCTCATCACAAGCGCCCACTGTGATACCTCATCACGTACCATGACTCGCTGTTGCCTCCCTGTCAGGTATTCTCTAATCCATTGCAGTGTCCTTCCTGTTATACTTGCCTGATCGTCTAGCTTCTGCACTAATCTCTTGTGAGGAACTCTGTCGAAGGCCTTCTTGCAGTCCAAGAAAATGCAATCGACCCACTCCTCTCTCTCATGTCTTACTTCAGTTACCTTGTCATAAAACTCCAGAAGGATTGTGACATAGGATTTACCTTCCATGAATCCGTGCTGCTGTCGTTTATAACCTTGTTCCGTTCCAGGTGCTCCACCACTCTCCTCCTGGTGTGTGTGTGTGTGTGTGTACTTACCTAATTGTACTCACCTAATTGTGGTTGCAGGGGTCGATACTCAGCTCCTGACCCTGCCTCTTCACTGATCGCTACTAGGTCCTCTCTCTCTCTCTCTCTGCTTCCTGAGCTTTGTCGTACCTCGTCTTAAAGCTATGTATGGTTCCTGCCTCCACTACATCACTTGCTAGGCTATTCCACTTCCTGACGACTCTGTGACTGAAGAAGTATTTCCTAACAACCCTGTGACTCGTCTGAGTCACAGGGATGCGTGCGTGCGTGCGTGCGTGCGTGTGTGTGTGTGTGTGTGTGTGTGTGTGTGTGTGTGTGTGTGTGTGTGTGTGTGTGTGTGTGTGTGTGTGTCGTGCCGAATAGGTAATACTTGCGATTTCGGCTTAAATAGCAACGCTCTTTTTGCCGAATAAGGCAAGCGAAAATTTGTGTATGCAATAATTTCGCAAAAATTATTCTGAACCTAAGGAAAAACATATATTTAATTGTGTTTGTTTATTATTAAATTATTGTAAACTTATCTAAAATATATTTAGTTGAATTAGTCTAAATTAAATTGTGGTTGTTATAATAGGTTAGGTAAGTTTTCTAAGGTCCTTTTGGTACAAAATTATTAATATTTAAATTAACATAAATGAAAAAATATATCTTAAAACGTATAAGAGAAAATTTTAGAAAGGACTTACTTTTAAATGAGTTCTTGCTAACTAACCAATTTTATCTATTTGGCACGATATGTATATCTATACATCGCGGCAAGCAGGATTCTAACCCACGTTGGTAACTGTCCGTGAGTGTAGCTTAGCTCCCACTGTGAAGCCTTAAACCACTCTGCTAGAGATGCCTCATAACATTAGGAAGCCTGCTTGACTGCAAACCATGTTTCATCCGAGCAGCGGGCACACCAGTGATCCTCAACCTACTTCATTCTCCTGTGTGTTCTGGCCTTACGAGCTATAATATACTTAATGCACCTCGCAGAAACAAGCTATAGTGTACAAACAAAAAATAACGCAGATGTGTCCGGCGTTAACAAGAAACATGACTTGTAGTCATGTAGGCTACCTAACGTTATGAGTCATCATCAGCTAAATGGTTTTCCGCGTCACGCTGGAATCTATGCCACACTCGTGGACAGCGTTCAACGTGGGGGTTCGAATCATGCTGGCTGCGATAATCTGAGATTATATATATACAGGAATGTACTTACTAGTAGCAATGCAGAAGAAACAATGGAATGTCGCGTAAATTCATGTTTATATGCAAGCGTTGAGTTAATTTCTTAAATATTCCTAGCTAACATTGTCCTGTAGTGCTGTGATGTGATGTTTACTGTTAAAGTTAACCATGTGCAGGGTCAAGGTAAGTAAGGTCAAGTTATACAAGGTCAGGTATTCATTTATCAGCAAACATGTGTTCTCATCTCTGGTCACAGCAAAGACCCATAACTTCATGGTGTGCCTTTGTGTTGCATATGATATCAAGTAATTTTCAACTATTTATATGATTGACACATCAGCGGAGAACCTGGTTCCTCTGACTAAATGTTTCACCGAGTGCATCCTCATATGAAGACGATTTGCTTAGTCAACTGAAATTTTCGTATCTTTCCACGACACATAAAATGACGCCACCTAAGTGAGGGATGGCTGGTTGGTTTGAGAGATTTAAAGCCTGTCGACTGCACGAGGGTCATTAAGGCAACATGTCACCCTTGAATGCCTCTCTAAATCTTCCGCCGAGTTCCTTGTATACCTACCTGTTGCGTTCTATGAATGATGCAGCATCTTTCACCCTTATTCGGTATGGAAGTGTAGTAGTAATGGCTCTGATTTGATCTTCGATGCTATATCATTCTCGAACTGGGGTTTCGTTTCTCTTCTTAACCCTGCATACTTATTCCTCACGGTTCTACTTCTGTTTTTTATCATCTTTCATTTCCTATATAATTTCGATGTTTCCTTCTTCTTTACTTCTACCTGTCTTCAATTCTGATTGAAACAAAGGCTCTCTAAATTATTCACTTATATTCCAGATTGGTGGTACAAACCATTCTGCTCATTCTGGGCACTTTCTGGTTAGTCTCTTCATCTAGTGGACCGTTTGACCATCCAATTTCATTCTCAATTTACTCCATTTAGGAAATCTCTCATACCTCCCTAAGCTCCTCTTCCATACTTGCTCCAGTATATATATACTTTGGACTGTCTGTTTTGTTTTTTTGTTTTTAAAATGGTATATTTAAGCATATAGTATAAGGACTATTCCATATCTTGCGATTAGATGGTTAGTTGTGTTACTAGTGAAACATTAAATCAACTGATTTTTTATCTACATTTAAGCTTGTTTGAGCTAGTGCGCCTGTTGTGGAAACATGCTACTACATCCTTCTTAATGACACTACAACCCTGCACAAGGCAGAACAAATGGAGTGTAACTCACCACGCTGCTGAGAGCCTGAGGTATGAAGCGCTTCAGGTTGGCCACGCACTCGTACACGTTGATACTGTCGTTGGTACTGTTGCTGGTACTGTCGTTAGTACTGTCGTTAGTATTGTCGCTAGAATGGTTGGATTCCTTCTGGATCAAACTGCTCATTACCACCACTGCTCCTGATGCCTCATACCCGTTCCTGATAAGTACACATTAACATGTAATTACAAACATCTCACTTTCCCTCTCCCCCTTCCCGTTTTCCTTTCTTCCTTCATCCCTCCTTACCTCTTCCCCATCTTCTCTCTCTCTCTCTCTCTCTCTCTCTCTCTCTCTCTCTTTGTAAACAAAAAAACGCAAAATACAGAATACAACAAATCTGTTGGGAAAGATATAACGTTGTGCGCATTTGTTGGGCATTTTAAAACATGCAAATGGTACAATGTATGCAAGCTTAGCCCACCAAATTTGAATCGGGTCTTAACTTCGTTGCAATTTAAACACCTTGATGAATCTCACCAGAATGTTTTGTTCATTTTCCAGATAACGGACGAGTAAAATCTGTACACACAGACACACATCAGTAGGAGAGTGGTGGAGCACCTGCAACGGAAAAAGATTAAAAACGACAACCAGCACGGATTCATAAAGCAGTGCTGCAACACCTGCCAACACTACTCCAACATCTGAAAGTACACCTGGCAGAAGTGCTCCAACACCTGCCAATACCGATTCAGGTTTTTCTCCACCATACTGATGAAGCTATTAATCAGGTGACAAGCATCGCACCTGAACAATTACGAACAGCAGGGACATATCCGATAGAATTGGACGAGGGTGTGGTAGAGGACGTGGAAGAGAATTACACAGACACCTACAGCTGTCTCACTTTCCACCAAGACAGTCACCAGGTATATAATCATCAGGTTCATCAAAGGCAGAACCTACGGAAAAAAATCAGCAGCGAAACACAAGAGGTGCAGCAAATTGGAGTCCACCGTCCCAGGCATCTAGGCAGAACTCTCACTGTCACCGGAAGGGACACACAACTAACAACTGCCTGCGAGATACCAGATGCAATTACTGCCACAGAGGGAACATCAAGAAGACCAGTGTCGTAAGAAAGAGGAACATGAGAAACAGGATCATCAGTTCTTTAGAGATCTGTTCTCGGAACAAACCAGCAGGATCTCTGAATAAGTAAACACACTCATACATTACCCACCCAGCTACTCCTATCTCAGCCCAGCACGCTTTGTGCCTTATGCAAAACCACAAAGCTATATCCCAGTGGCTGCCCAGGTGTCCTACCTGTCTCAAGGGCAGGCAACTTACACACCCGCCAACTCAAGCTGAACACAAACATGAGGAGCCAGTCTATCATCATCCTGTCGGATAACATTAGAGGATTCATTATCTATGTTGGAGAGGTCACGGACAGTTTCGTGAACACTCGACGTCCCGACATGATGCTGTTGAGACATTTTTGGACGACTGGACTCCGGAAAATTTTGCAAGAATTGCTGGCTGCACTTCATGGTGAGACGGGATGGGCAAGGACAAGGAGGATGTGTTGTGTGCTTCTCTAAAAGCATACATACCCAGCCAATTGATGCTGCCATCCCTACTCACCTAGAAATGATGTTCTTCAGACTATGCATAAACACTAGTGCCTTTGTGCATGTGCAATGTAAAGACCTCAGTGGCAACATGCAAACCCCATCAACTACCTAATGGAAAATTGTGGACTCCCCTCTGCTTTAACACAAATGTCAATATATAATTGGTGACCTCAACCAACATCCTATACAGAGGAACTTTGATGACCTTCTTGCAGTGTTTATCATGAGAAACTTCGTTGATTTCCCAACTATGGCTCCACCTCGACACAGTAGTGAGTAATCTATCGGAAGGTATAGTCACCTGTCAACTCCTTGGCCATGTTGAATCATTTGACCACAAGGCTGTCTTTACAACACTGAAGATTCCAACAGAAAGAGGTGAAGAATCTACACGAAAAACCTGGTTGTGGGAAAAAATTAACTTGCCAGCCCTTTGCTCTGAGCTCGCCGCCTCCGATTGGAATGCTTTTCTCCAAGGCGATGTCTACAACCAAGTGAATGCCTTCATTGGACACATCCTTTACCTCCAACAAGAATACATACCTCACCGGCAATATGTGACAGTCTATAGATCAACCTTGATTCGGCTTTCATTGTAGAGAGGCTGCTACTGCTAAGTACAAGGCTTGACGAAGGTATAAGAGGCATCCCACTATCTATAAGAGGAACCTGAACAGGCAAGCCTGCAGACAAATGGGATAAGTCCAAAAGTGGGCCATCTTTAATTGGGAGGCTGACAAAGAGAGAAAGCTGGCATCAGGTAGAGTGGGCTCCAAACCCTGGTGGTCCTTGGTTAAGGGCAGACAGAATTATTTGCTTATAAACTTATTCCACCTCTAAATCGATAGGATGGATCCATCTCTACTAGAAGTCAGGAGAAAGCTGACCTCTTTGCTGAACACTTTCTTACCAAGACGACAGTTCCTCATCCAGCAAAGGGACCTTCCTTGGCTAACAGCAATAACTGTGTCAAAGTTGTCAGTGGTGACAATAAGGCACGATGAGGTGTACCTTCTTAAATCGCTGGACCAAGAAAAGGTCCAGAAAATTTGAGCCCAAGATTGCTGAGTAGATGTGCAGACCAGTTAGCAGCACCTCTAACTCACATCTATAAGCACAGCCTAGCACAGTGAAATGGCCTTCTCTGTGGAAGTGCAGAGCGGAAATCAACAACTATAGACCAGTGTCACTCCTGTCAATCACTAGTAAGATTCTTGAGACAATAATCTCACGGCAGATGACAGAGTTTTTCAACTACCACTCACTTCTTTGTGACCGTCAATACGGCTTCAGAAGAGGTTACTCTGCTGCTGACCCGTTGTTCAATCTATCCACTGAGTGGCATCAGACTGGATGAATCCAAAGTCAGTTGTGTAGCAGCACTTTACAGTGCTGGTGCTTCGACCAAGTATGGCACCAAGGACTCTTGGCCAAACTGCTAGGACTAGGAATTGCAGGCTCTACACTGTCTCCTCAGTGATTACCTTCAAGGTTGATCTCTAAGTTAGTTCTCAATGGGACAGAGTCAGCAAGACATCCTACTGGGGCAAGTGTTCCATAGGGAAATGTGCTTGGGCCATTGTTATGAAATGTCTACTGCAATGACCTCCTTCATCTCATCCCAGAATCCCATGCATATGCAGACGACTGTACTCTGATATTTACTTATCTAAGAGAGGAAATGCCAGCTGTTCTAAGTTACATCTATCACCAGCTTACAGCTATATCAGCCTAGGGTAAACGGTGACAGGTAACATTTGCTCCTGAGAAAACACAAATGATGATGGTCTCTAGGCATCATGATGGTAATGCTGGAGCAGTGATAAGAATCAATGGGAGAGTGTTGGTACCCGGCGACGAAGTTGATATCCTTTGAATGAAATCTAACTCCAAGCTGACCACGAAGAACCAGGTTGTAAATCTTGCAAACAATGCGGCCAGAAAGCTTACAGCACTTCAACGTATCTTGCATCTGCTCGACAAGAGGTTGCAAGATTCTTTACGAGGCACAAGTATATTCACACCTTGAGTATGTTGCACTTTCTTGGGCTGCCTGCCCTCCGTCTCATCTGCGACTTCTTGACAGAATAGATAACAGAAAAAAAGACTCATCTCTCGCCTGGACCCATCCTGGATAGATGTCATTTCAGCAGAACCTTCAACACTGGAGGTAGGTGGGTGGCCCTACTGTTATGTACAAGGTCAATATTGTCAAAGTACCACACCTGGCTCCAGTCTAAGGACAGCGAGAAGTGAGCTTCTACACAACAAGACGGGCAGCAAGCAGCAACTTCAGTCTGGCTGTACCCTTCTCCAGAACATCACTTCATCTGAGATCATTTATTCCCAGGATGACTCGAGTCTGGAACATGATCGTACATCATAATAATATCAACGAAATAAAGCCATAATGTTGGTAGAATTACCGACAATATGTAAAGTAAAAGGACACAATAAAATGTCACATTAGTTGCACTTGTGTCCTTTTACTTTACGAAATAAAGTCAGCTGATCAAATGAAATCGCTGGCCCACAGATGGCTCCAACTTCATCCTGTTCCCTACTTATATGTCTCATAACAATAAAAAGGCTTTCAAATGAGATGATGTAGGTAACAGCTCTTAGCTTGTCAATAAAGTTAGGAATCCTTAACCTAACCTTGTTAAACTCTGTGTAAGAAAGAGATTGCAAGTCTCACTAGCATCGTCTTTAAAGAGGTCTTACAAATGTGCCTCTCCTACCCCCCCGACACACACACACACACACACACACACACACACACACACACACACACACACACACACACACACACACACACACACACACACACCACCCAGCGGCTGGGAATTGTGGATTGCCGCTTGGACAAGACAAGAGAAGTGGGATTTCTTAGAAGCGACACAAGTAAAGTGAATTTTAACTGGTTTCCTTCCTCGTCCTACCAAGAGATAAAACTAAATATTGTTTTATTCTACCTAGCATCGCGCATCGGCTTTCTTGCAAACGTTATTAATAATCTACAGAGGATAGGAACGACTAGAAATTTTATTACATTTTTATTGCATGAAAAATTATCGAAGTTTCGCGAAAAAATAAATTATCATGATTTCTGTCCTTAATAAAGAAGTGACAATGTACAATCCAGAATTTTCCCGGGAACGTTTGTAACTAACCAGTGTAAGAAGTAAATCAAGAAGATTTCTTGAATTTCCTGTCTTCTTAAAAGGTGTTCTAGGGACTGAAACAGCGACCTTTACCGACTTAGACATAGTGAACGCAAGATCTCTCATTTTCACGATGCGAGACTCACTCGCTCAATCACTTCAAGAAATTATCACCCATAAAACAACGAGCGCGAGAACATTAATTATATATTATATGAAATTATTACCATAACTAAAATGAGCAATATTTTCCACAATTACATCTATCGTGTCTAAGCACTGGAGAAGTAAATATGTGGTAATCAGTCCCTCAGCCTGGAAGAAGTAATTTTCAGGTGGTCAGTCCCTCAGCCTTGATGAAGTATTGTGATCCACAGACGATCAGTCCCTCAGCCTTGATGAAGTATTGTGAT